ACACACACACACACACACACACACACACACACACAGAGAGAGAGAGAGAGAGAGAGAGAGAGAGAGAGAGAGAGAGAGAGAGAGAGAGAGAGAGTGAGAGAGAGAGAGAGAGCAATTCCTTCTAGCGGTTTCTGTCGGTTCTGGTTTCAGAGTTGTCCTCGAACATTGAGCCGCTCTGGACATTAAACCTGGAACCACTCTGGTCCCGCCTCGAACCTGTACCCGCTCAGGAAACTGAACCTGGAACCACCCTGGAACTTCTCTTTCTCTCTCTCTCTCTCTCTCTCTCTCTCTCTCTCTCTCTCTCTCTCTCTCTCTCTCTCTGTGTGTGAATTATGAAGAAAAAAAATGGGGTCCTGCCTGTCTCGGTGTAGCTCAGATAGGTCCCCTATGCCTACGACTTCCTAAAATGAGGTTCCGAGTTCGAGACTTTCTATAGCTCGATATTTTCCTGTAAGGCATATGACATCTCCTTAACATCGATCCCGCTTAGGCATTCAGTATTATCATATTATGTATCAGAAAAAACTTGGCTGGCCCTGCTGATGGGGGCAGCTTCTCCACGATTGAAAAAGGTGGGGGAGGGGAGGGGGAGGGAGGCTTCGATTGGTAGTGCGGGGCGCAGTCGGCTGTTGTTTTTCGGCATTATCGAGGCCACAGCCTGAGCGGTGATGACAAGATCTTGTTGTCGCGCTATAAGAGAACAGAAAACGAGAAAGAATTTTATTTTTTTTATAGAGAAAACATGGAACACGGATCGATTTTTTTTTTTGTTTTTTTTATGTTTTTATTTTCACCTCTATAGCTTTGAGTTTTTTCCACCTAAAAATTAAAGAAAACATGGAACACTTTGTCCGGTCTTCATAGAGTGCAGAGCGAAAATCTTTTGCTTGAGTGTATAGATTGCGAAAATGTTTTGCTTGAGACGTTGAGAGTATAGATTGCGAAAATCTCTAGATTGCGAAAATCTCTGGCTTGAGAGTGAGTGAGATCGACAGTATAGAGAGCGAAAAAAATCGAGTGAATTAAGAAAAAAATCGAGTGAATTAAGAGAAAAGTCGAGTCGAGTGAATTAAGAGAAGAGGGAGTCGAGTGAATTAAGAGAAGAGTCCTTTGGGACATCCGTTAAAATTGCAACGATACAGAGAAGATTAGCATGGCCCCTGCGCAAGGATGACACGCATAAATCGAGAAATGTTCCAAATTAAAAAAAATAAAAAATAAAAATAAAAATTAAGAGAAGAGTGAGTCGAGTGAATGAAGAGAAGAGTGAGTCGAGCGAATTAAGAGAAGAGTGAGTCGAGTGAATTAAGAGGTGAGTCGAGTGAATTAAGAGAAAAGTGACTTGAGTGAATTAAGAGAAGCGTGACTTGAGTGAATTAAGAGAAGAGTGAATTAAGAGAAGAGTGAATTAAGAGAAGAGTGACTTGAGTGAATCAAGAGAAAAGTCGAGTGAATTAAGAGAAGAGAGAGTCGAGTGAATTAAGAGAAGAGTGGGAGTGAATTAAGAGAAGAGTGACTTGAGTGAATTAAGAGAAAAGTCGAGTGGATTAAGAGAAGAGAGAGTCGAGTGAATTAAGAGAAGAGTGGGTGGAGAGTCAAATCAAGAGAAGAATGAATAGAGTAAGATAAAGAGTTAATGAAGGGAAGAGGTAGTTAAGAAGAAGAGTCGATTAAGAGAAGAGAGAAGAATCAATTGATAGAAGAGTCGATTAAGAAGAAGAGTCAATTAGGAGAGGACTCAATATGAAAAGAAGACTCAGTTAAGAAAGGAGTCGTGTCAATCCATTAAGCGACGAGTCGATTAAGAGAAGAGTCGATTCAGAGAAGAGTCGAGGCAATTAACATAAGAGGCAATTAAGAGAAGCTTCAATTAAGATAAGAGTCGTGTAAGAGAAGAATTAATTAAGAGACGAGTCCCATTTTTAATGAGATGAGTCAATTAAGAGGAGAGTCGGTAGAGGATAAAGGATCGACAATTTGAAAGGTAGAGTCAGTTCTTTTTTTCTTTTTTTCTTTTTTTTTTCCCTTTTCTCGACAAGCCCTCAGTATGATCGGTACTTCTTTCTCCCCCTCCTCCTCCCCCTCCCCTCCCCTCCCCTCCCCTCCCCTCAGAGAGCTTGCTAAGATCCGTGTGCCTCTTGGCCGTCTTCTAATGGT